GGGGGGGGGGTGCAAAATCATGTATTGTCACAAGCATTGGTTCCGCCACAACAAACCCAGTATAATCCGAACCCTGTGTGATAAGCACTGGCGGAACTACCGAATTTCTTTATTTTTTTACGGAGTATTTATAATTTGGGGTATTTTTTGTTTTGTGTTGTTGGTCCAATAACATGTGGGGTGGGAGTTATGCACTCGTGCAGAGAATTTATTTACTTGCATCAAAACTAACTACAGCAATAATAATAGCTATTCTGTGGTTTACAATAACATATTAGACAAACTTTGGTTTTTTTAAAATCTATTTCCACCAAAAGAACGGAGGTGATAAAACGTGTCTGCAATAAAATTCATTTTGCTTAAGCAATAACTGAAAAACAAATTGAAAAAATGCATATTTATCGACGTATCATATAATGTTAAAATCTAAACACAGACATGCATCATCTTATTGTATATGCTCCTAACACTATTAAAAACTGAAAAAGAAAAAACAGATTCAAATGTAACAATATACATCTGGTTCAAATAAATCAGTCTGCTTCAAATAAATCTAACGAGATAAATATTCATCTAAATCAATAAAACATGGTGTCATGGTCCGTGCAATGGTGTTTCACACACATCTTCGAAAATATAGGGCTAATAGAAGATCTTTAGAACAGTGTCTAAGATTGGAAAATAGATCTAAGACGTGATAAAAAAACATCTAAAATTTGTGTTTCGCAAGTGTTTAAGTGAACCAAGACTCTGTTTTGCAAATGGGCGGGAGTAGAAGCAGGGATGATTGAATGAAATACCTGGATTGATCCCTGACTTACTAACAGTGAGTTGTCTGAATAGGATGCCAGACGAAAAGGGAAGGGAAGATCGGTGCGATTGATGTTGTTATCGCAAGATACGGGTGCGGATCCTAGGCCAAACCGCCAAATACCTGCTCTGCTTTCCGTTTTAAGATTTGAGAATCCTCTGATTTTTAACTTTTAATACCATTTCAATTAGAGGATGGGCAATCACAAATAGAAAATGAAATGTCATACGTTGACGTTTAATATTTTAATTAATCAAAACTAGTCCAGTCAGCGTGTGGCAAGTGAATAGAGTGGCATGTCTTGCAATGGCAAGTAATTGTTTTTTGTCCATTTTTACACTTTTAAACATATTTTAATTATTAAAAAATATTTTACTTATATTTTTTTTCAAAATAGATGTACTCCTATTTTAAAAAAATTCTTTTTTTTGTACAAAAAAAAATTAAAAAAAATAAAATAAAAAAAAAAGAAATTTGACTCGCGCAAGCCTCATGTACCGTGGAAGAAGTGGAATCCCACGCGAGGCAAGCTGATGGATTGTCCTACATGTCATGTACATGTCATGGCATGGCAGCGGATGGAGCGCCGCTGCACATGCTCTTAGGACACTTCTGGTGTTTGATTCGTAAAATTGTTAGTTTCTACCATAATCAAAGAATTTGCTGTTATAGTAAATTCGTTCAAATTTTGACTCCAAAGTTAAGATTAACTTGGAGTGCAATTCAAGAGGGTGGGACCGTAGGATTGTGTTCGAATTAAGGCAGAGTTTTAGTGGGGGTTTAGAGAGAGAAGGAACCGTTAATTTTATGAAAGAGACACCGGAACACCCGGGTCAATGACATTGATTCCCAATGCATATATATATATATATATATATATATATATATATATATATATATATATATATATATATATATAAACGATGATCAATCAATTAACTTTCAAAGAAGTTTTGCACATAATCCATTCTGTCTTTCTTGAAAATTCAAGTTGTGAATGTATAATAAAGTCATCTATTTTCCTGGGATGGGAATGAACTAATTTGTAGGACCTTGACATAGAAATTGAATTTGCAAATTCAAAAAAAAAAAAAAAAAAAGAGGAAGAACAATGGCTGGATAGCTTCTTGAGTTAAGCTGTGCGAGGAAGTAGGCAATAGAGATGACCCAAAAAATGCAACTCTCTTCTAGCGCTAAACAAACACGCAATGGATACCGTTTATTTCCCCAAATCGCTACTCCCAAACACCGCAGAGTTTCATCCCTCATTTTTTATGTACTTCTTTACACCTCATTGTCTAGAAATTATGTCATAACTCCAGGGAAATAAAACGTTTAACAAAGTGTTAATGCTCTAGAAAGTAAAAAATCTCATTATTTGATTTTTATTTTGATCAAAGTACAACCGTGCTAAGAACGTATTCTTACCCATCTTAAATTACTTCATGGTATCTTAACAGGTTACTAGACTAGACCATGAGATATTTGGGTTGAACTATATTAAAAGATTGAATCCAATCGATTATTTAGTTCAATTCAATGGCTTATACACTTATTTTTTACTCTAGAATTTCCAATGTAGATAATCTCTAACATTTAACAAGGTATTAATGCTCTAAAAGTAAAAATCTCAAAATGCTAATGTAAAATAGAATTTTACGATAATATTTTGTATATGTGTAAATCATCACATTAACATCACACTAATAAAAAAAATAAAGATACAAATCTATAATGTAGACACAAGTTTTGGAATATAAATAGCCTAGTTTATTAAATTATGTGTCCCATGCCCATAGGTACTTTGGCAAATCCCACCACTTGCGCATACGGCATACCCACCCTTGTAGTACTCCCTCTTTATCCATATGCTTTTTCATCATTTCATTAGTAAAATTTATACTAAATAGAATTAAAACATAAGTCATTTCCCAATGTAGGACTTAAACTTTTTATTCCCTAAATAGGACTTAATAATGACTTAAAAATGTCTAGTGTGAGGAATACTGTCCAGTAATCATGGACATTTAGTTGAATAACGACTAATTGATAATGACCAAAGATCCTACATTGGGAAATAAAAACATATGATCCTATATTTGGAAAGTCATGTGATCCTATATTTGGAAAGGTCCTACATTGGGAAATAAAAACATATGACCAAAGGTCCTACGGGTCGGGCCAAGTTTGACCCGACATGTGATGCACTTAATTGTTTACTTTTATTAGTTATTTAGTTTTACATATTCATTTAAAATATGATATACTCATTATGTTACTCAAAACTCAAAATGGGAAAAAATCTCATATAAATCTAGTAACATTCCAGCCTCTCTCTCCCCTCTCTCTCCCCCATCTCTCTCTCTTTCGTCCTTCCACTCTTCTATCATCCGTCGATATTAGGTGCCGACTCAATCAAAATGGTGAGAAGACACAAGAACAATAGTGGAGTTTTCAATGTTATTTCATCTTTTTCTGCTGCTCCAACGAGTAATATAAATTTTAATTCTTTTCTTCTAATTTTTTTGGTATATTCTAAATTTCTTTGGTATTGTCTAATTTTTTTGGTATACTGCATTTTTTATATGCTAAAATTATGTAATGATGATACATTCTACAAAAATGTAATGATGACACCATATGAAAAAATATAAACATGAATATGACTTTACATCTATTGCAAAGTTTTGTTTTGATATGTTGTAAGAATCTCAATTTTATGTATAATGTATATACTTTTTGGGTATGTTGAAAGAATTTTCAACTTTTTTTTATCTACAGCAGCTTTTTTGGTATGCTGCAAAAAGCTAATTTTTTGGTTATATTGTAATTTTTTTTGGTATGTTGCGAATGGAACTGCAAACTTTTATGACTTTGTTTTTTGCTTTGAATAATGTGAGGATCACTTTATCTCTAAATAGCAAAAATTTTAGTTTTTAAATATGCCTCTTAACCAGTTGGGTCAAATCGAATCTGATAACTCTAGGTCATGAACAAACACTCTTAGACCCGAACCCAAATAACTCGAACTCGATAGAACCTGAACCCGACCTTATTGACCGTTTTGCCAGGTCTAGCCGGCACAACCGCCGTCATGTCTCAAATCGGGAAGAAAGATGGAGAAGAAGAGGAGGAGATAAATAAGAAGAAAGATGGAGGGAGAGAGAGAGGAGAAGAGATGGAAGAACCAAAGGGGAGAGAGACAATAAGAGAAGGATTGATAAAGGAGGATGAAGAGGAGATTGAAGAAAAGAAAGTGAGGAAGAGATGTCGATGAAAAAAGAGAGGGAGAAGTGGCGGAGGAAAGAAGAAAAAAACAAAGAAAGATTATTTAATGAGAAGAGTTTTTTGGAAGAGTTGGATAAAAAAAATTAGAACGAGCAGATTAATTTTGGATGGAAGAAATGTAGAATAGAAAGTTTATTTCCAGACAGAGAGAACATTTTTTAAGACAGAGGGGCTACAAGCTTAAGAACAAAAATAATTGTGCACTCTTTTTTCTTTCACTAAAGAGTATGTAACTCGTTAATTAGCATACACTATTTGTAATGTGCGCATTCTAAAAATATGCAAGAAATAGGAATAAATGTGCATACCTTAATTAAAATAAAATAAATGATCAAAAGTATATGCAAATAAATAATTGTACAAAATGAATACAGAGTATTTAATTTTTGTATGTTAAAATTAAATACTACTTCTATTACATAAAAACCTTTTGTATTTGACTTTTACGAAGTTAAAAAATGTGTGACATAAAGACAAGCCATTATTTAATAACAGCGTTGTCAGTCTTAACACTCTAAACTGCACCACCACATTGCTAGCTCTACCATCACACTCTCAACTCTATCTACTACCAACTTTGTCACCACACTATCACCCTTTTGATCTTCATTGCCATATTGCTACGAAGCCACACTCCCACCATGATATTGCCCTCATTGCTATATTGTCATCCTCACTGCGACACTAGTGCCTCCACCCCACACTACAACTAAAAGTATACTCTCACCATGCACTACATGGGTCTACCACTTCCACCGCCACACGACCACCATAAATTAAGGACAAAGATAAACTATACCTAAATTCATCTAGAAAGAAGCCGAATCAAACTATCATATATTCTCGCTCAACACATTAGTCACTGTACTAATCATCTTTTTTTATGTATCCTCCAATATATTGTATGTATACTCCAACAAGAAAAAAATATTTGGTAATTGAGATTTTTTTCTTAATGACCTAAAAATATGTTAGAAATTATTTTTGTAGGAAATAATCTCAATTACCAAATCTTCAACAAGAAAAAAAATTAAAATCCGGTAGTCTATTTGCACCAAAAGTTTGAGACCAAACATTAAAATCCGGGCAATCAAATTCTTTCTTTACTTAGGGGCTGTTTGGCAACTTCTGAATGGGTAAGTGCTGAACCAGTAAGAGGTCTGAATCATTAAGTGCTGAACCAGTAAGATGTCTGAACCATTAAGAGCTAGTATATTGTTTAACTATTCAGAGGCAAATGTCTGATCAATTCAGATAAGAGCTCTTAACCATTCAGACTCTGTATAATACTTAACCATTCAGAGGCAAATCTCTTAACCATTCAGACATCTGAACCATTAAGAGGCTGAAACAAACAGTCTGAATCATTCAGACATCTGAACCATTAAGAGGCTGAAACAAACAACCCCTTATACTATGTAAATTATTTAAAGCAGTCTTCCCTCTCCCAAATTTAACGCATCAATTTCGTTCCATTTGTAGAAATAAAGCATTACTTGAACAAAATTACTCGTATATTTCTATTTCTTCTATAAAAGTTTGTGTGAAACTCATTTAATCCCTCCCTTCGGTAATATTTTCTCATTTAATTTTTCTTGGTCAAAATTTATAAATTTTGACCCCTTGATATTTGAAAAAATATATTTATTTCGCTATAAATATGATATTAATATTTTGCTTATTAATCGTTATTTTAAAATATTAAATTTACATAAAATATTCATATGTAAATGTAGATATTAATGGTTAAAATATTGCATGAGGAACAGTAAAAAGTCAAATGAAAGATCATTTCTGGATGAAATTACGAAGTACTGCTCAATTGCCCAGAATTGACAGTTCCTCGTTTTGGGAGGGGGAGCGGGACCGTAATTGGAACTGCGTAGGATAGGTTCTGGTTTCAATTCAACTAGCTGTCTTAGTCTGGTTTCAATTCTGACTGGTTTAAGCTATATTCCCCCCACTCCCAACAATAGTCAAAAAGGAAAAAAATTTGGTAGTCTATTTGGTACCCAAAGTTATATATTTTAGTGTAACTTGAAAAACTATTTGACTGATGGTATCATAATAATCATCAAATAAGTTTGGTGGTGTGGAATGCACGTTTCGTTGGGTTTGTTATGATAAAAGTCTCGTTTTAACGGTGTCCCTGAGTAGGGTTTAAAGGGTGGCAGCCCCGGTGGGGTCTAAGGGGCAGAGCCCCTTGAATTGTAAATTTCTTAATGGTATGTTTGAGAACATGGATTTGAATTTCAAATTCGGATTTGACTCAAATTCCATGTTTGGGAAACTTAAAAATTTTGAATTTGGATTTGAGTCAAATTCTTCTCATTCATAACAAAGCTTAATTTGAAATCCATGCACCTCCTCTTGTCATTTGAAATTCAAGATTTCAAATTTTGGAATTGAAATACATGAATTGAAATGAAATGCTAGTTGCCAAACACTACCTAAAGAAATTTTCAAAAAAAATGTGTGCATTTTTTCTAACGTTTTGCGCGACTAGACGTGAATTTAGAAAAAGACGCGACCGTATTTCAAACCTTCCTTCCGCGCCTATAAGAATTTGGAAAAGCTCTTGGTCGATTGAAGAGTTCGAAAATTCATACTCCATCCGTCCCGAAATAGATTACAATATTCCCTCACATTTTTGTCCCAAAAATGATTACAAAGTCAATAACTTTATAGTGATTTGACTCTTTTACCCTCCCTTTTCTTTTCTGCCAGCCACTATTCACACTATTTGGGGGGATTTGGGGGGTAATTTGGGGAAAAAATTTGATTTGACTCTTCCTTAATTTCAACTAAAAGAGAATATTGTAATCTAAAGTGGGACGGAGGGAGTATCAATTTAGACATATTCTTGTCAAATTTAAGTTTTATCTGATTGATTTTTGGAATGAACTTATCTGAAAGCGCTACACAACTCTTAGATTAATGTGAAATTTGCAGTGAATAGAATTAAAACATAAGTCATTTCCCAATGTAGGACTTAAACTTTTTTATTCCCTAAATAAGACTTAATAATGACTAGTGAGAAGAATAATGTCCAAGTGATGCTGGAAATTTAGTTGAGTAATGACTAATAGATAATGACCAATGGTCTTACATTGGAAAAATAAAAACATATGATTCTATATTGAGAAATTCATTATGTTTTAGTAATATTTAGATAAATTACCTAGATTAATCCGTGTCACCTAGAATTTCCCCAAACAAAGTTTGAGACCAAAACCACCTCCCACCACAATTCTTGGTTGAATTTCTGAATACTAAACCGAAATAATTTGATACTCCGGGCTGCATCTGGTCCTAATCCCAAAAGGAATTCATACCCGGCCCATTCACCCGTACAGTATAAACCTCTGTAGTAAGCCGAGAAGAGTTTGAACAAGTGGGGGCACGGCAGTACAGCCCTTCTTGCTCTTTTCAGGAACCCATCTTTTCCTCATTCCCGTTTGGCTCTTTTCCGGAGAAAAAGTAAAGAGAGAAACTTGCCATTCTCAGATGCATTTTTGAAAGGCTGCAAAAGAAAATTGAGTGCCCTTATTACAGAGAGTTAAATAATGGCGTGAGAGTTGAATTCTGCAGCTCAGTGATTCTGCAAAAAATCACAGCTGCTGATCAAGATGATTGAAATTCTCACCAAATGAACCATTTTTGCTGTTCTGGTGAGTTTTCTTCTGGATTCATTCGTAATTTATTTCAAAGATCATTTTTTTTTTGTGTTTTTTTGCTTTCTAATGGCCCATGTGTTTGGTAATCATTGCTTTGATTTTTAGTCATATAATTTTGTTTTCACACCGGCCTCTCATTTTCTTTTTGGGGTCATGTGAACGACTTTGTCCTTTAAAGGAGTGTCGGCAAGCAAGCATGGGGTTTTGGAGTTTGGTTTTTTTCCCCACCAGATTTCTTCAATCTTTGTTATGTTTGTCTGAATAGTAATGGTTGGTGAAAATCATTGCCCTTTGTCTTTAATTTCAGGCCTTTGTGTCTTTGACAAAGTTTGTTCTCTCTTTATCTTGGTTTCTAATGCAGTCCTTATTAATGATTCCAACTTTTCTTGTCTTGTTGGAGAAGGGTTTGCTGTCTATTCATTGATTTGATATTTCTGCTGTGTGGAGTCAGTCATGCTTTGCTGCTGGGGTTTGTTTGGAAAAGTAAAACAAAATTAATATATCCCATTATCCAGATTATCATTTGCTCTTGATAAAGATCTGATTTTGGATTACATTTGCTTGTCTCCTTCTTTTACCCAGTTATGATTTGATTTGGGAGCTTTGAAGCTGGGGAAATAAGACTGTTTACCGGCTGGGAGTCTCTAGCTTGTGATTTATTCACTAGGTATTATTTAGTGTTGATTGCAGTAATTTCTATGAAAAGCTATGGGAGCACGATAGTGTAATGGAGATTTACGATGTCGCCACCTCATGATGTGGTTGCATCGCAATGCTTCATTATTCTGGCATGCTCACTATGAACATACTAGTGTGCTTTAAAGAATTCTGGGTAATTTCTAAGTCATTTTAACAGCTGAAAAGTTTATGCATGTTGGGCTTTCTTCTTATGCAGTTGCGATTAGGCAGGTGCAGAGCTGCCAGAATTAAAGCAAGGATTTTTTTTTGTTGATTCGCAAAAAAAAATTAATTATATTCTGGCCTGGATTGATTATTTTAATTTGTGGTACAAAGACCGGGATTTCACTAGGTCAAAACCAGTTGTACTTTTGTTCATTGCCGGAGTCATGGCATCCATGCTCCGCTCCGAATCAAGGAGGCTGTATTCTTGGTGGTGGGACAGCCACATCCCTAAGAACTCAAAATGGCTTCAGGAAAATCTCACTGGTGTGTGGCTTTGATTTCAATCTTTTTCTTCTTACTCGTTTATGATATATGTTCATAATCTCAAAGTAGAAGCTTTTGGTAATACTGTATATTTTATTTATCTAGCACTATATAAGTATGAGCTGACCATGAAGCAATGTGCATTGCCACAGATATGGATGCTAAAATTAAGGCAATGATCAAGCTGATAGAAGAAGATGCGGATTCGTTTGCAAGAAGAGCCGAAATGTATTATAAAAAGCGGCCCGAGCTGATAAAACTGGTTGAGGAGTTCTATCGCGCGTACCGTGCATTGGCCGAAAGATATGATTACGTGACAGGTGAGCTCCGGCATGCACACAAAGCAATGGCAGAGGTTATTCCAAACCAAATGCCTTTCCTTATGGTCGACGATTCACCTTCAAGCGCTTCAACACTTGAGGCAGATCCTCACACTTCAGAAATTCTGCCTCCAGCCCGCGCATTGCCTGAAACGGATGATGACCTCCAAAAGAATTTGTCATCCTGGAAACATGATTTCAGGATGGTTGGGATTTATCCTGGTGAATTGGATGCTGAATCCAGTGAAAAGGGTTTGAAACAGTTGAATGAGATTATCGGAGGACAAAATGGTGCCTCAAAAATTTCAAAGTTTTTGGATGGAGGGTTAGTAAGAGGTCTTCCTGATATAGCAGAATTTGAAGTTCAGAGCTTGAAGGAAGCACTTACTGATATAGAAGCGGAGAAGGAATCTCTCCTCCTCCAGTATAAGCAATGCTTAGAAAAGTTATCAGCTGCAGAGTCAAAGCTGGTTGAGGCACAGAAGGATTCCGTGACTCTCATTGAACAAGCAAGTAATGCTGGAACTGAACTTCAGGCTTTGAAAGAATCCCTTAGTAAGGTAAAGGCTGAAAGAGATTCGGAACTGGAGAAAAGCAAGCAATATCTACTCACAATATCCAGTCTTGAGGGAAAGGTCTCTCAAGTACAGGAGAATGTGAAAGACCAAAGTGATCGAGCATACGAAGCAGAAAGTGAAGCTCAAAGCCTAAGGAATGAGATCAGCAAACTGGAGTCTGAAAATGAATCTTGCCTTTGCCAGTACAGGCAATGCCTGCAAAAGGTATCTGATCTGGAAAAGAAAATCTTTTTTGCAGAGGAGCATGTTAGACTGCTTGAGCAGCAAGCTGGCGATGCCGAAGCTGAGATTAAAAAGCTAAAGAAGGCTCTTATGGAATTAAATGAAGAGAAGGAACTTTCTGATTCTCAATGTAAAGAATGCCTAGAAAAAATGTCCAAGATTGAGAGTCAGCTTTATAGTGCCCAGGAGGAAGTCAAGCATCTAAATGGTGAGATTCTTATCAAAGCAGAAATGATTAAAAATGCTGAAGATAAATGCCATGCATTGGAGTTGTCAAACCAATCGCTGCATGAAGATGCGGAAAATTTCGCCAAGATGATTCTAATGAAGGATCAGGAGCTATCAGAGAAGCTTATTGAGCTGGAGAAACATCAAATGGATTTACGACACGAATGCCTAAGTCATGCTCAAATTGAAGCTTCTCTCCAGATTTTGCAAAATTTGCACTCTCAATCTCAACTGGAGCAGAGAGCTCTGGCGTTGGAGCTGAAAAATGGTCTTCAAGTGCTTAAGGACTTGGAAACATGTAAGGGCAGTTTGGAAGATGAACTCCAGCAGATGAAAGTTGAAAATCGCAGTTTGAATGAGTTCAAATTGTCTTCTACTACTACAATACAAAATCTTGAAAATGAGATCCTTAACTTGAGGAAGATGAAAGAGAGGCTTGAAGTGGAAGTTGTGCAACAAAATGAGAAAAGTAATTCCCTTCTACAAGAGATTACCGGTCTTAAGGATGAAATCTGTCGCCTGAACAAAAGTTACCAGGAATTAGTTGAGCAGGTGAGGTCAGTTGGCCTCAACCCAGAGTGTTTTGGTTCCTCAATACAGAGTTTGCATGAAGAAAATTCAAAGCTGAGAGAGATCTTTGGGAATAATAGCACCGAGAGAGAAGATCTTCACAGGAAGATAGAGAGTATGGAGGAACTGTTGAAGGACAAAGCTGTTCTTGAGTGCTCTGTTTCTGAATTAAATAGTGAGTTGCAGGAATTGCATGAGCATGTGAAGGAACTGCATGAATCTTGCCACTCTCTTCAAAGCGATAAATCTGTTCTTGTTGTCGAAAAAGCTGCCTTACTGTCTCAGTTGCAAATGGTAACTGAGAACATGCAGAAACTCCTGGAGAAAAATGCAGTTCTTGAAAACTCACTTTCTGGTGCAAAGGTTGAACTGGAAGGTTTCAGGGAAAAATCAAAGGGCTTGGAGGAAATTTGCCAGTTGTTGAAAGCTGAGAAGTCCAATCTTCTGGCCGAAAGGGGCGTCCTAGCGCTTCAGTTGGAAAATGTTGAACGGCGACTTAAATATCTTGAGAAAGGATGTACTGGATTGGAAGAAAGGCATGCTTTGCTAGAGAGGGAAAAAGAATTCATGCACTCACAGGTAGAAGAACTACGATTCTCTGTTCTTGCCGAAAAACAGGAACATACAAGTCATGCACTCCAGAGTGAGACACGAATGGCTAGCCTGGAAAGCCATGTTCAGATGTTGCAAGAAGAAGGTATGTGGAGAAAGAAAGAATGTGAAGAAGAGCTTGAGAAACTACCGAGAGCCCATTTTGAAATTTTCATTCTGCAGAAATTCATAAAGGAGATGGAAGAGAAAAATCGTTATCTGATGAATGAATGCCAGAAACACGTTGAAGCATCAAAATTGGCTGACGAACTGATTTCTGAGCTAGAGAATGAAAATCTGGAGCAGCAGGTTGAAATGGAACTCTTATTACATGAAATTGGAAGGCTGAGAGTAGGGATATATAATGTTTTCAAGGCTCTGGAAACTAGCACTGGATGTATCCCTGATGTCAAAATTGAAAATGAACAATTCTTTTTGCATCGCATATTTAGCAGCATTGAGGGTTTGAATTCTTCACTCGTAAAGTATGAAGATTACAATCAACAACTTTGTGTGGAGAATTCAGTTCTGCTCACTCTCCTGAAAGAAGTGAAATTTGATGGGAATGAGTTGGAGCTGCAGAAGAGATATATGGAACAGGAGTTTAGAATCACAGAAGAAAAGCTTGTTATGGTGCAAAATGAAAAGTGCAAACTTCTGGAGATGAACAAGCACTTAGAAACCGAACTGGTAAAGGGAAATAAAGAGAGTGCAATGCATGAAGCTAAGATGGAGAGTCTCAGTGTAAAACATGTTGACTTGAAGAAAGCTTACCTTAAATTAGAGGACGCGTACTCTCAATTACTAGAACAAAATAACTCTATGACAGAAAAGATTTTGAAGTTTGAGAAAGAAAAGTGGAATATAGAGCAGGAAAATGATGCAGCTCTGGTAGAGATACTAGATCTGCTTAATCTTTCTACGATTTTCAGGAGTATCTGTCATGAGAAATCCAGAGAACTGACATCATTTATTGCAGAGGTACACAATCTGCAGGGTGTCGTCAGCGGCTTTGTAAAAGAGGTTGGTGTTTTGAGAGAAAAGCTGCAAATGAAAGAAGCAGAAAACTCAAATCTAGATGACACTATTCAGAAGATGGAGATGGAGCTCCAAGAAGTTAGAAAGTGTAATTTTGGTATGAAAATGGAAGTTTTAAGCGAAAGAGAAATTATAAGGGAGAAGGAGGTAGAACTTCTGGAAATAAAACAAAAACTTCAAGCCGCAGATATCTTGAACTCCGAATTGCACAATAATGTAGATGAACTGAAGCATGCTTGTCAAGAATCAGTTCATGTCAAGAAAAATCTTGAACGGCAGGTGCTTGAACTATCTGTGGATACTGAAATTCAGAACAAGGAAATTGAGTTCCTTAAAGAAGTGAATGCAGACTTAGTGAGAAACATGGACAAGCTACATGCAGAGATTAGCGAAAAAGAAATTCGGGAAAAAAATCTGAGTTCTGAGCTCCAAGAAAGAACCCATGACTTTGAACTTTGGGAAGCAGAAGCAGCATCATTTTACTTTAATCTCCAGATTTCCTCCATCCATGAAGTTTTCCTCGGGCATAAGATTCGTGAGGTCTCTGAAGTATGTGGAAGCCTATTGGACCAAAATACTTCAAAAAGTTTGGAGATTGAAGAAATGAAAGAAAGAATGGGCTTGATGGAGAATGAGATTGAAGAACTGAAAATGCAAGTAAATGCATATTCACCTGCAATAGCTTCTCTCGAAGATGACATAGCATCCCTTGAAAATAGCACTTTGCCTCAGACAAAGCTGATTGTATTCGATGTTGCCGAGACAAAGGTTTTGTACTTTTTTTCTTTTTACAACAGTTGATAATTCCTTTGTTGTGCATTATAGCTGCAACCTTTTGACATTTCCCTCCCGTAGTAGCATTTTCAAAATAAATGTCCTCTTTGGCTGCGCTAATTCTGTCTTTTTGAAAGAGCTTGAGATTCTTGGTAAAGCTCTAATATTCACAAACTTTGTTTTATGTCAAGGACAGGCATGCTAAAGATTTTGTATGACTTTACCAGTGTATTGCTGATTGATTCATTGCATATATCATCCGTGATATTGAGTACGACAGTTTAATTTAACGGCCATGTACGCCATACATACACAATATTGTTTGCTCTCACAAACATCTGTTGTACGCTTACAACAGACATCTGTGAGAACAAATCTGTTTTGTCTATATGTGTAGTGTACAAGTTGGTGTACAAATTACAAAAAGCATTTTCTTAATCTTAACCTCAAAATGTGAGCATTTTCTGGGCTTGGTTTCATAAGAAGTACGGAGTACTTTCTAAATTCTAAACTTTGTGTTAACTAATTTGAGACCATTAGTTGACATTAAATTTCATCCCATTGGCTCCAACATAGTTGGAATTGAGGTTAGAGTGGGGTTCCGTTGACACTGGCCAACGGTGCCACTAGCGGTGCCACTGCATTTTTGGAGCACCTCCGGTGCTCCGTTCATAATAGCCACACATTTGGAGGGGGGCTTAGGGCGGGGCTAGGGTGGGGGGTTTAGGGGGTGGGTTAGGGTAGGAACCATCAATTTTTCGAACAGAGCACCGGAGGTGTTCCAAAAATGCAGTGGCACCGTTGGCCTGTGTCAACGGAACCGTGCCCTTGAGGTTATTATGAATTTATAATTATGTACTCTCTAAACTCTAGTTTTAAATTTTTAATTAGTTGAACGGCATGCCAACCTTGAAATCCCAGCTCTTTGTTTGCTTGTTTCCCTGTGTTCCTTCAGTGGTGTCACATGTGCTATAGTAAAAATGTAGTGAACACTGAGAATCTTTTCCTGTATATATATATATATTTTCAGACTATGGAAGATAAGGTTCGTCCAAGTGAAAATGGACCGAACAACCCATTGGAAGATAGCTCTGAGAAGCTGATACCAAGTCAATCTGCCACCACTATTAAAGGAGTCATGGATTTGCAGCAGCTAGGAACGAGGATTAAAGCTGTCGAAAAGGTGGTTGGTGAACAGATGAAGAAGCCCGGGATGAAGACCAAGACTGTTCATAATACTATGAGGTCTGAAATTGAGGCCTTACTGTCTCAGCACAGTATGGACAGAGAAATATATAAGCTCAGAGATAGGGAGGGAAGTAGGGACGAGTATTCGGATAATGTCAAATTAACAAAGAGGAAGCCCAAACCTTTTGAAGTCAAGCATGGATCAACAACAAAAGACATCCCACTTGATCATGGGTCAGATTGCTCGCCGCAAAAAAATCGCAGGAGAGGTGCTACTGCATCATCATACCGGATAGATGATCAGATGCTTGAGTTATGGGAAACTGCAGCAGGCTGCAGTCCCATTCAAACAGTGAGAGGGTTGAAGACTCATCGGCAGGGTCATGAACCCAGAGAGGGGAATGCCATCTACAATCACCTAAGTGCAGAGTGGAAGAACAGACACCCACCAACAGACATGGAAGTGAAGGAGCTGGGGGTTGATAAATTAGAGCTACCCATGACTGTTTCCCGGCCAGATCAAGGGATGAACGACAGAAGGATTCTGGAGAGGCTTACTTCTGATGCAGAAAAGCTGACGGGTATTCAGGTGACAGTTGATAACATGAGGAGGAGACTGGAGACAACTAAAAGGAGCAGAAAATCCAAAAACGTGGATTACGATACGGTGAAGGAGCAGTTACAAGAAGTTGAGGAAAGTGTTGTCCAGTTAGTGAACCTGAACAGTCAGTTGGTCGAAAATGCCAAAGAAGGTTCCTTTGGAGATGCAAAGGAGGTCTCAAATGTGTGGCATAAGAGAGTCACCGAGCAGGCTAAGAAAGGGTCGGAGAAGATCGGACGATTGGAGATGGAGGTCCAGAAAATCCAGTATGTGTTGATGAAACTGGAGGAAGAGAAGAAAGGCAAAGCCAGAAGCCGATTTTCCAAGAGGAAAACTGGCATTGTTCTCAAGGACTTCATTTACATTGGCAGGAGAGACAGCGAAAAGAGGAAGAAAGAGGCTCATCTCTGTGGTTGTTTTCGACCTTCTTCACGCAGTGGCAGCGTAAGCCACATATGATTCCCTTGTAAGTCCATGTAACTGTTAAGTGTTTTTTTGAATGACAGTCCTAAGCACCAATATTGTCTACTTCTAATAAACATAGGTTTTGACAGTCTTTTTCCCTTGCAATTTCTTGTTCGTTTCTTTTGGAACTTGAAATATGTTAGAGAAATTAAAAATGTGAAAGAAACTAGGAGTTGAAAAAACTGGAAGAAATTTAAAGAAATTGGAAGGGGTGGAAAGAAATTGGAAAAAGTTGGAAGAAACTGGGAGTTAGAAGGAGAAACCGGAAGAAGTTGAAAAAAATAAAAAACGTTGAAATAATTATTACGTAGTATATTTTATTAAATTTAAATTTTATTTAAATAATTTGCACTCTGCTTATTCAAAATTCTTTTATCTCTTTTTATCTTCTTCTATGTCGTTATATTTTTGTCTCAAATCATAATAGTAATATTTGTGTCAGTCACATTTACTCTTACTTTTAAAAAATTAATATGAGTTATTCCCTCTGTCTCATTTTAAATTGTCTGTTTGCCTTTTTTTTCTCCGTCCCAAAGTAAGTTGTCTGTTACTTGTTATCATAAACTTTTAAGAGTAAAATACATAAACTACCACTACAATAAGTCACTCTTCTCCACCTTATCTTCTCATTTATCGTCACCCCTCCTAAAAAGTAATGACAATTTTGGAAAATCAACTCTATTTTTTCTCTTAAATATGTCCAAAAGTTAAAACAGACGATTTAAAACGGGACGGTGGGAGTATATAATTTTTCGTTTGTTAAGTTGTGTGTCACTAATCTATATAACAAAACAAGAAATTGATGCATATTGTAGTTGGATTAGTTAAAAGGGTGCATTTATTGAAGTTTAAAGTACTAAATAGAACACGATTTGATGAGAACTAGCTTTTATTTTATTAAGAAAATATGAATCAAAAATCTAATATAATAATTCTCATATAGCTTTTACTTTATATTTATTTATTGAACTGTAACGCTTATTTTGCGCGTACCTTTTACACGCAAGTCCAAACTCAACATACTATATATCGTTGGTCACTATTTCACAAGATCTACCCAACAACCCAATTTTCAAATAAAAAGGCTGACTTTATAAATAGTTTATATTTCTGAGTTGGAGAGTATTATATTTATTTTTCTCGGAATAACGACTAACTACTATCTGGTTTTTGGGTCGTGACAAATATAAAAGTGGGAAAATTAAAATTAAAAATTTCGCAGAGAGAGAGAGAAGAGAGAGAGAGAGGAAACTAAAACAAGGAGAAAAAGAAAAAGTAAAAATAAAGTAAAATAAAATGAAATTCCTACTTGTTATTATGTGCAAGAAAAACGAAAAAAAAAAGAAAATTGAAAATGATTAAACAAAGAAATAGAAAAGAAAATGAAAAAGAAAAAACACCAAAAGAAAAATTGAAATTTAAAACCTTTAGATGAGTAAAGGGATAAAAAGTACTCCCTCTGTCCCAAAAAGATCATTACGTTTCATTTCTTTGCGCATCCCTTAAAATATTTTTATATCGTCTCAAATGCCAAAAAAATTTTCAAAACAATTTCATCTTATAATAAAGAGTAAATATGGTAAATTTTAGAAATTTTAGATGTGAGTAGCATTGCTTTTTGTGATGCGCAAAGAAATGAAACGTAACGATCTTTTTGGGACGGAGGGAGTAAAAAATATTGAAAAATGTTGGAACAAAAGAAAAAACACCAAAAGGAAAGATGGGGAAAAACCAAAAACAAAAGAAAAAAGAAAGAAAAACAGAAAAAAACAAAATAATGAAAAAAACAATAAAAAAGAAAGCAATGTGTAAACCGAAAAGAAATAAAAAAATAAAAATGTGGAAAAGGAACAAAAGAAAAACCAAGGGCAGAAATGTCATTTCATGTGTAAAATAGGCAAGAGGGGGTGTGCCGGGGGTGGTTTTTCATCTTTTTTGGTGCACTATTTAAAAACCACTGGGGTTTTACAAATAACTTTTGAAAGTATAGGGGGTTTTGGCGCTCCTTTTGTAAACCACGGGGGGCATCCATGCTATTATCCCGAAAAAATATTAGGAAAGGTAAAAGGAAAGAAGAAAAAACAGTAAAAAAGAAAATGAAGAAAAAAGAAAGAAAAAATAGAAACGGTAATATAAAGTAGAAGGGGAGGGGGTTGAAAAAAGAGGAAGAAGAGAGGAGAGGGGATCTTAGAAGAGGAAAAGAAGAAAATATGGTCTGAATTGAGAAAATACAAATGTTTAAATTACAATTTTGTCCAAAGTAACTTGTTAGTCACCCAGAAACTCGCTTGCGGAAATGATTGAATGAGAGTGGGGCAGGATTGAAAAGAGGGGCTTGGGAAGGGTCTTCACATTGTAAATGTTCTAGCTTCCATTTCTTCGTCATTGCACTCATTAAAAACGAGTTGTAATTCCTTAATTTGGTAGACCACGACATTGGAATCTACCATATTAAAATGAGTAAATTACATCGGTGAAAATATATAGTGTTGCTTACACAAAGATTGTATTTACATTTTTTGTTGATGCATACACAATAGTTGAAGCACAACTAATCTAGTGCGTGCAGTTAAAACAAGATCCAGACAGGGAGAAATTATGAGTGGCTTACATGAAGCTGTGATCAAAGATTATACAGAATCAGTAGCCATTGAGTAACGAATTGTCCTATCATCTACATTCACTAGGGGGATGAGATATATGTTTAACAACTAACAAGATGTAATGGCTATTTGTTGAAGATTTGGTTATCGAGATTTATTCAATACTATAACATGTAATCCCCAATGGCCGGAGATTGCAACATATATGACAATAAAGAAATGTAAAGCTGAAGACATACCTGACATTGAATTTGGAATCTTTAAAATGAAATTGAATCATTTGGAGGACATAAAACAATACTTATATTTGGGGAAGCAATTAGAGGCAATTTTAAAGTTTGTTATATTAGTTTCATTTAAATAATGAAGTTGTTGTGGTTTGGACATTCAATTTAAAATATCTTCATTTGAATGTAATAATTTTGTGCATGTTTGTACATTGTAGACTTTCAAAAAAGAAGCTTGTCTCATGCACATATCTTAATTTGGTTACACCAGAGGGATAAATTTCAACCGCTCAAGTCGATTGATCATGTGATATGTGTAGAGGTTCCTAATAAAAACAAATATCCCAGATTGGATGAGTCTCTATATATGGACAATGGTAAACACATTAAATTTTTTCCCAAAAAATTTGTTGATAAGACATCATATCATTTAATGAGAATGACTACCCGATATACAGAAGAAGAAACATGGGGGTCACCCCAATGAGCAAGGATATCGAGTTGGACAATCGATTTGTTGTTCCATACAACCCACAACTCTTGATGAGGTATCAAGATCAATCAACATTGAATATTTAAATAAATCTAATTCAATCAAATATGTCTTTAAATTTGTAAAAAAAAGGTCTAGATAAAATAACTATTGCAGTTACCCAATCTAACTTTGACACTGTCGATAATATGGTGTATCCTCTCTTTTGATATACACCACAGGTGTCATCGATGAAAGTGCTGACGTTGAAATCCTACCTAAATTCTTGATTCTCGACACAAGTTATCCCCTCAAGAGTATAGTGGACGTACTTCACTTATTCGAACCTATTAGAGAACATAAAAAATTATTATTTTTTTGAGGAGATTGCACTGTTAGCACTCACGCTTGAGTTTGTTGAAAAGTACTCCCTCCGTCCGGAAATATTATTCCCATTTGACTTTTCTTGGTCAAAGTTTGTAAATTTTGACTATGATATGTGGAAAAATACATTGTATTACGATATAACTTTAATATGAATATATTCATTTTGAAATATAGTTTTCAAATATCAAATTTTTATAAAATATATACATACATAAATAAAGATATTAGTGGTCAAAGTGCAATCTTGAATACCGTAAAAAGTCAAATGGGAAGAACATTTCTGGACGGAGGGAGTATATGAATTTGTTATATCCCTTATTCTAGGAGGTGAAAACGAGTACTTAACTTCCGATTCTTCATGCCAAGGAGATTCAGATGTAACTATTGAAGACGTTTGGATAACAGTTTAGTTTTTTAAAGAAATTAAATGTTCGGGGATCCCAAACCATATAATAGTTTTTAAAATGGGGGTACTATTTATGTTATTGAAGAACATTGACCAAATATCTAGATTGTATAATGGTAGAAGATTAATCGCTGAATAGCTGCGAAAGAACATTTTCGGTGTATTTGAGGTTTCAAGAAATCAAGTCAGAAAAAAGGTTTACATATCCCGAATGAATTTGGTACCATTTGATTCAGGACAACCATTTAAATTCTAGAGAAGACAATATTCAAGAGTCTTATGTTTTGCTCTGACTATTAACAAAAGTCAATGTCAAAATTGTCTTTTATTGTATTATTTTTAACCAATTCGGTATATACTCATTGTCTGCTTTAGTTTACAATTACACGAGTTAAAGTAAAGAGGTGATTTAAAATATTGGTTCTAGATGACAATAGAGACCGTTACAATCATACCAAAAAAGTTGTGTACCCTGAAGTCTTTTAAAAAATTAGAATTAAAAAAGATCTTTTCGAGTACACTTTCTATTTCCCAACTATTATTTATTTTACTTTGTCATTGTTATCCATTGATTAAAAGTCGTGTTAGAAATATAATTACTTGATTCGGAAAAATATATTACATTGAAAAAATCCAGAATAAAAAAAATTGTTCGACCCCGTGCATCGCACGTGTCAAAATACTAGTTTATACATTCTTTTCAATTTTTATATACATGAATTTTAGTTAGCATACTCTATTTATGTCGTATCTAACATTCTACATTATATGTATTTTTATTTTATAATTATTTACTCAAAACAAAAAATTAGTAGAGTTAAAAATAACATGCGTTCGACCCCGTGCGTGGCACGGGTTAAATACTACTCCCTCCGTCCGGAAATATTCTTCATATTTTACTTTTCTTGGTCAAAGTTTATAAACTTTGACTACGATTTGTGGAAAAAATACATTGTATTATGATGTAAATTTAATATCAATATATTTATAATGAAACGTAGTTTTCAAATATCAAATTTGTATAAAATATATCTATGTATAAATATAAATATTAATGGTTAAAGTGCAATATTAGAGACCATAAAAAATTAAATGGGAAGAACATTTCGAG